CACTTAAAACCTCACTAATTTGTGGAAATTCATGGTAGGTTAGGGTTGGGCTTCCAGGGGCAAAGGGAATCTGAATTATGAAGCAGGGGCAAGGACACGTGGTGTCGGTGCACGACGGAGCCAGAGCTTTCCCCCAGTTCCCACCTTGGTGCCAAGTTGGGGGTACCTTCAAAGAAGTGGGTATAATAGCAGAGTGGTGGAAGGCATGTGGGCGGTGGGTGGGGGAGCATGGATTCACTGAGCAGCTATGCAGTCAAATAGCTTTTGATTTAAACTCTTCCGTTTTGAAGGCTCATTTGTATGAGGAAATGTATAGACAAACATTGATTCAGATTCACATTTCTGAGTTAGAGAGGTCAGGGCTTCTGCAAAGAAGCAGAGAAGTTCAGAGATGTGAACTTGGGCACCAGAGGCCTGGTTGGGTGACTTGGGCAGGGATGGGGAGGTTTCATTCCCTTGGTGTGTTTTCAAGGGAAAAATGGAGAAAATTTTGAAACCTGAGCAGCCTGTATATTCTTTTTTGTTATCTGCATGGCAGGATTACAAACACCCTGCCTTATAACTAACCAGTGACTTACCAAAGGCCTCTGTAGAAACTTCAACATCTGAATTCATGCTGTTCCCCAACCTGCCCAGTGTCTGTTTTGATATGGCGACTGGAAATGCCGCTTCTCCTGCCTTCCCAAGCTGCACACTGGAAGTGAGCCCAGACCCCTCGGACTAAGGGAAGATTCATAACGTTAGCTACCCATGAACTAAGTATTCAGTGAAATGGTAATGATGATGTTCACTAAGAATCCCAAACCCAACCCTGACCAACCCTGCCCAAGAGGATCTGTACCACACTGAAAACTGAAGAAAAAAAATCCTGTATTTGCAGTTACGAGGTTTTGATCTTTTTCACATTTTTTAGCAAGCTTGGGAATGATGCAAAAAGGAGCCATCAAAGAAAAGCAAGAGTTGAAAAGAAGCCCCGTGGGAGTAGTTTTTTCCTCACAGGGATGACAGCCATATGCATGTGGGTACCTCGTCCTTGTCCAGCTCTGGAACAAGCTCAGAGGACCCAGCACACACAGGGACTCAGGCTGTGCTTCTCTATCTGGCGCTTCACGGGCACCTGGGGGTTCTCTGACTCCTGCAGCCGCAGGACGTGGATAAGATCCCCAAATGTTGTGTCTTCATTTTGATAACTGTCTGCAAATTAATATAAACACATTCTGGAATATTTGGGTGACCAGGTTAGCACTGACAGTGAATTTAGGACATGGGTTTGTGCTTGTGTCATGAGAGCATTGACGCTGAAGAGTTCTACAGCAATTGTCACAGGTGAAAGTGAAGGAAAGAGTGGAGATTTTAATATAGGCATAGTTACCCCTCCGGAAGCCAATGGAGCATAGATTTCTAGAAACTAGGGTTTCTACCGGCTTTGCTTACTAGTGTCTTTCACTGTACCCAGGTAGTAGGTATTCAGTAGATGTGTGTTGAATGAATGAATGGTGAATAAATGTTTCAAAAATACCTGGAGCACCAAAAAGTGGTGGCAGAATCAAATTATCACAAGCCCAGGAGGCCTTCTGCTAGAGCAGCTGGTACCAACTGTAAAACTGAAGTGGCCGTAATTTGATTTCCCCCAGCCAAGCCACCACCCAGCTGAACGAAGGTTATAAACTTAAGTTTTACTGACTGTAGATTTGTTTGTATTGACTTATAAATTTATTTTTATTTTATAGTTGTACCAAACCCATGAGCAAAAGCCATTTTATGTTTATACATATTTGAGAAATGCTACAGTAAAAAATAAATTAGGTCAACCCTGAGGCTCTGTGAGAACTTTTTTTTTCTCCTCTCTCTCTTGGAGTCCATCTATTACTTAAGAAACACTATGTGAACATTTTTAACCATTTATGCTCAATCCTGAGGCAAATGGGACATAGCTTCCTTAGCCAAGAAAGGTGACCATTTCTCCAGGTGGCAAAAATGAACTCTGTCCACTGGTAAATTTACTGCCAATGGAATAAAATTGTTTCTCTCTCAGTTACAATCAGCAGTATTAGAGCTTCAGGGTGGGGCACTGAATATAAGGTGTGCTGTAGACTGTAAGAGGCAGTTAATCTTGTTTTTGGAGCTCTGCATGGTTGCACAGTGGGAGGGGGAGGTTACTTTGCTTGGCTCACAGTCAGAAAGGGCTTTCTGCCCTAAAACAACCCATCTCTAGAATTTATCAAGCAGGTACCTGTATATGTAGATGGGGTGAGTGATTTTACCTGAATAGTCAGGTAGGCATCTAACAAGAGAGTGGATTAGATAATATTTTGATCCTGGCATATTATAAACCCTCTGACCTCTGACCATGTAGTAATGCTGAAGATAGTAGCTGGCTGGGCCTGACAATCTCTTGAATTCCAGAACCATCGGCAGCACCAATGATTCCTGTCTGGCTCTGTTACTCAGCCTGGCTCCTTGTGCCTTGGCACTCTGCGCTGAGAGCCATGTCAGTAGGTGCAGTGAGCTCAAGGTGGAAGCCACACCTGTGAGATCTTCCCATCAGCTGGAGCCTCTCTGGGGAAAGAACACTGGGACCCACCCACGTGCCTAGATCCCCAATCATGCCAATAATGCCAAGATCCCCACTTATACTAATAATGCCAAGATCCCATTTATGCTAATAATGCCAAGATCCCGTTTATGCTAATAATGCCTAGATCCCCATTTATGTGCTAATGCCAAGATCCTATTTATGCTAATAATGTCAAGATCCTATTTATGCTAATAGGTGTAGAACTCATTCTGTGACAGCCCAGGCTCCTGTGGTGAGGTCCAACCTACTGTGTCTATTTTCTTCTCTCAAATATGAGCTTTATGGGGCAGGGGTAATTATAGTCATTGTTCACCATGTTGCATTGCATGCTCTGTAGGGTATTATCTCCTTCCTTCCTTAGGCCCTCCCTTCCCTCCCTTCTTCTTTCCAAGAAGTCTGAAAAAGCTGACCGCAGGATAGGTGTCCAAAAACACTTGTTGAACTGAACTGGAATGCACCTGTGGAGTTTGGGCTTCACCACCAATCCCTATAGTCAGGTCTATGAAACTTGACTGATAAATGAGAAAACAGAGTAGGCAAGAGACTTGGATTCATGATTCGGGAGGGAGGAAGAGGGAGCTGATGAGAAGCTGATATCCTGCCAGCCCAACAGCTGATCTGGAGCTCAAATCAAGGGACGAGGCTGACATGCTGGCAATGAGCAGGGTTGGGAAGCTGAGCCCGGTCCCAGACCGCATGGGCCACCCGGTTCCCCCCCACAGACTCCAAGCCCCTCCAAAGCCCATCCGCATCCCCCACCCTGGCTGCCACCCAGCCTCTCTCAGAGCAGCACTCAAGCCAAGTGGAAGGAGGAGAAATGGTATGCTAGTCAGCGAAAACTCGCTCCCTGGACATCCCTGGGAGCGTCCGCTCCTCTACTGGGCCTGACTGCTGCCCTTTGTGAACCTGGGATACTTCTCCAGAATGGTGGGAAGATATCATATGAGAAAAACGGCTTCAGGAGACCAAGTACAGGGCTTGGAGTGGCCTCTGACGGTAGCTTCTGGCCCAAACTGTGCTTCTCAGGCTCTTTTCTAGCCACCAGAATAAAGTATAAAGAACGCATTTGAGAAATAACACATACAGATTCAAAGACATGGGTTTTGATGGCTTGGACATATATCAGGGAAACTATCTGTAATACTTTTTACCATATAAATTGAGAGGAAAAAATTAGAGAAAAGGGAAGGAAATGGCCACCAGACAGAGGATTGGGGAGCACTGGGGGGAGGGGGCAGAGTGGACAGTGGGAGCCACAGAGAGGTTGCAGAGCTTGGCCCCTCTGCGCGCCGACCCCTGTGCTGGCTGGGAGTGAAGGGTGGTGATGGATCATCCTGCCCTAGCTACGCATAGTGCCCACTTCCAACTCGCTGAGGTCATCTTGGGCTGATGCTTGGAGCTTGCTGCCTGCTGTCTCTGTGCAGAGATGGAGTCTCTGAAATTTCCAAATCCCCGTAGAGGACAGGGACCCCAGGCTCCCCCAGGGTCCTGTGTCTTTTCTCTCTTCTGGGTCTGCCTTCGTTCATTCCTCTTCTCTGCCTTGTCCCCAGCCTGCCACCCCACTACCTTCAGGCCTGCTGGGACTGCTTGCCATCTGCCTTTCTGTAACAGAGGGCCCAGTCTTTTATGATTTCACTTTCCCATGAACAGAGGGGCAGATGCCTCCACCACAGGTTCCATGGCCTCCAGAGGTGGGAATGGCTGAATGGCCGCAGGAGGGGCAGGTCAGGATGGCTCCACCAGGCCACCCCTGTCCCTCTTCTCCCTTACAGCTTTCTGCACTAGCCTGACCCTCCTAAGCCAGCATCACCACGAGGGTTGGTAAGTGAGTGCCTGTAGAGAAAGGGAACATTCCTGTGGCCAGGATCCTCACCTGACCCTGGTTGGCTTGACCACTGCACACATGTGGGCAATATGTTATGGCTGACGCTGTATAAAGAGCTCCGCCCAGTGCTCTGGGCTGTGCAGCTACAGGAGAGCAGAGCGGTGGTGGTGGAGCTGAGGACAGACTGAGATGGGGCCGAGAAGCCCTGAGGCAGAGACTGGCTTGCTGCCCACAGACTTGCCCTGAGGCAGATAGGACTCTAGTGCTTGACCTGCCACCATGAGAATAAAGCTGGGTGTAAACCCTTTCACCCCAAGATCATTCCATTGTCATTTTTTCAGTCTCACAGAAATAAGAGTGAACTTGCCGGGGGCAGAAACCTACTGGTGCCATATGTCAAGTTCTGTTCTGCCCTGGAGGGGGTGGGGGAGGGTAGGTGCAGGCTGGCTTTGTCTCAGCCTCCATATGTGAGGGCTTTTGCCTTTGATAAGACCAAATCCCTAGACAAAAGAGGCCCTCTGCCCATCCTAGGACCATCCACCCAGCCCTGGAGAAATGGATTTTGGAGGAATCAAGAAACAAACAAAGCTGCTTTGGGAAGGCTCACATGTATTTATTTCACAAGGGGGAGATGAGGAGGGATGATCACCAATAAGATGCCACCAAATCAGACACTGTGAACCCCAAATTGGGCAACTACAGGAGCCGGTTCTGGTCAGGGCTGGGCCTGTGGGGGCAGCAGGAGGGAGAGAGGGAACAGGCAGAAGGGAATCCTCTCATCTGGGGCACCACATGGGGCAAGGCTGCGCTGCGTCCTCTGGTTACAGACATGTGGCCAACACCATAAGCTTCTCAGACACCTTCTCCCAATCCAGGTGAGCAATGAAGCGACAAGCCCGAGGTCACGCTTCCATACCCACTCTACCATGCACTCAGAAGCACACACCCAGACACACCTGCCACGTGGTACACATGCACACACACACATGCAGCCACACATGCCCAGCCACGGGCACCACACAGGCCCACACACTCCTGCACATGCACCCAGGTCCATATATTAACTCTGATTTGTAACTGCACCCTAACCAGAGGGCAATCGAAAAAAAATTATTACTCTTCAGAGTCAGAGTCAGAGAGGAACCGACTGCCTTCTGCTGTCAGCCAGCAAAGCATGGGGTGAAATGAAATGAGCACAGAGCATCCTTAAGGATCCTCATCCCTTTTGCTTTGCTGCCTTCAGTCCTTAAGCTCCGGGGGGAGGCCCCTTGCTGCTCCACCTGTGGCAGCCTCTGTGAATCAGGGCTTCCTGGTTCCCAGGCAGGCAGAGCTGCACTGGTCTGGTTGCTGGGGCCTCTCCCAGATGAGACCACCAGCATGCTCAGCCTACTGTCTCTGGCTCCCTCCAGTGCAGGCAGCAGGCACATAGGAGTCTGATGCCAAGGGGCCCATGGAAGCATTAGCTCCTTCCAGGCCATCACAGGGAGGGTCCAGAAAAATCCAGACTGGACACCTCCAAAACCCTCTGATGGAAAGGTTTGGGGTGGATACTGTCTGGGGTTGTGCATGGGCATCTGAGAAGAAGCAACCTCGAGGGAAACTGAGTCTCAGGGCTTCACTGCCTTCTCCAAGGAGGCAGAGCTAGGATGTGGTTGAGCACCACCCCCACCATAACACCTTGCTGAGGGCTGGGGTGGAATTCAGAGGCTGCTGCTGCAGGAGAGACAAGGGAAAGGAAACCCTGCCAGTCCCTGTCCTGACTGGAGGTGGGAAGACGATGAAGAGATGCGGATGCTTCCCTCCTTGGTACCAGGTCCACATTCAGGCTGCAGGAGACATGGCCCCTGGGTTCCCAGAGAAGGGTTGGGGGGCTTTTCCAGGGTGCATGAGCCTCATGGCAGCTGAATGCCTGATGGGAATGCAAAGTCTTCACCTGGGGCCCTGTGCTGCCCTGGAGAGGCCCCCAAGCCCATGAGCACCTGCTGGCTTCTTGCTGTCTCTCCACCAGGGTGGCTGGTCCAGAAGACAGAAGACCCTGTCCCAGAGGCTGGACTCCAGGGGCCCCAGCTCCTGCCCACTACTTGATGGAGTTCTTAATTGTCCACCTCTGGCCTGTGCAGCTGCGGAGGATGAGGTCAATGCCAGCCAGGCCACGGTTCTCCACCTCCAGGCAGCGCCCTGTGCCCTTATTCATGATGGCTCCGTTCTGGGATGAGATGGGGGTAAAGCGGGGAAAGAGAGAATGAGAGAGACAGACAGAGACAAAGCAAAAGAGAGAGACAGTGAATAAGAGAGAGGGAGAGAGAGAGGTATACCCACCACAGTGCTGGACCCATGAACTCTCATGGGGAACAATCCCATCGAAATTCTTGCACTGGGGGAGGGATCACCTGGGTTTCCTCCAGAAACCCCAAAGCCAGCAAATGAATAACCTTTACCAAGTTTGAGTGGCTGAACCAGGTGATGAGCATTGATGGGCGATGGTGTCAGTGGAGATACTCAGGGGTATTCAAGGTCTGACTTTCTCAATCCTACCAGCTGCAGGTACTTAGCAGATGTCAGGGAAATCACCCCACAGTCCCTTCCTAAGATTTATCAGAGCCGAGGCCTGCCTAGCCTTGCTGAGGGAATCCAGGAGGCTGTGTCACATGAAATCCTGCACCGACTCCCCCCTGGACATGGGCCCAGGAGGCTGGCCCAGGGTCGGGAGACCTTTGGCGCGCTTTGCTGGGTGTCCTCCTTGGGGAAGTCAGACTTCCCTGTGGCCTGCAGCACCCTCGCCTGCTCTGGAGTGCTGGCCCTGTTTGTGAAGCACTCACCTGGAGGAAGTTCCAGCGTTTGTATAGGCTGCTCTTGACCTTGTCACAGTCAAGGAGCTGAGGCAGCTGGCTCTTGGCATTGTCCACCAGGCAGCGAGTGTCGGGGAGGAGCGTGGTGGTTCCCAGAGCTCCCAAGTGCAGGAAGCCTTCCTTGGTGTATCGCGCAAGCTGGGGAGAGAGCAGAGGGCAGGGCAGCGGGAGCAGGGGGTGGGGCTGAGGCTGCGAGGGGAACTGTGGCTCAGGGCTGCAGGCCTCACCCTCACCTCTGCCTGTGCTGCAGTCCCGGCCACCATCTCAGGCCTGTCACACACCCACACACACCCAGGTGAGCCCCCCAAGGAAGCCCTCTGGATTGCAAAGCCTGGGTACAGCTTCTCCAGGGGGCCATGCTCTGAATTTCTCCTAAGTATGTCTTCAGTCAATGTTTCAGGATTCTGGCCTCTGTTCAGGAACCTGGGAGAGGAGGAATAAGTGACAGAGCAGGACATCAGATTTCTAAAGCTGGGCTCTGCTTCTAGCAAGTCTCTCAACCTCTCCAGTTCTCCATTTCCTCCTCATTTGTAAACTGGAATCCACACTGCTGCAAAGGGTCCAAAGAGGCAGTTCAGTGAAGAAGAAACAGGCGTATGAGAAAACACTCAGCCTCATAGATTTTAAAATACATAAACTATATCAGCAATGAGATACCACATTTGAAAAAAGAACTTGTTCCCATTTTTGTCAAGGTTTGCATAAAGATGGGTGGAGGGATGGTAAATTGTTACATCCCTTTCAAAAAGGGGATTTCAAAATATATGCTTTGGACTTTTAAAATGTTCCTCTCCTTTGCCTCAATAAATCCACTTTTAGAAATTTATCCCAAGGAAATAATCAGCACTGTGTACAAAAGTTTACATATAGGATATTTATTGCAACATTACGTATAATGATGAAAAAGCAGAAACATCCTAAATGTGCAACACAATCCTGATACTTGCATTCTGCTCCACCTTCTGTGAGGAATGCTAGATTGTAGCAGATTGTAAAAACAGCCACATCCTTCACTCCTCCTACAGACCCTGGGCAATATGACTTTTGCAGCAATTTCCATCAAGAAGTAGAGTCCAGCTCCTTACCTCTTGAATATCGGTGGCTTGCTCTGGCCAACAGAATGTCACAGAAGCGAGGATATGCCTGTTCCCAGAACACACCCTTGGCTCTACGTACTTCCACCCTCTTGGAACCTGCTGCCACCATGGCAGTAAGCTGGGGATGGCTTGGGAGGATGAGAGGCATGTGGCCTGACTAACAGCCAGCTGAACACCAGACAAGTGGATGAGGTCATCCTGGGTCAGGCAACCACTTAGCCAACCTTTCAGCTGACTGGAGATATGTGAATGATTCCAACCAAGATGAGCTGAGCCTGGTCCCAATCACAGAACCATCCATCTGACCCGCAGACATATAAGCAATAATAAAGGTATACTGTTTTATGCTACTAAGTTTTGGAGCAGCTGTTATGCAACCACAGTTAATGATACAGAGATGGTGTTGCCTGCTGACCCTTCCCACAGCAGGGCCTATATTACTTCAGTGGTCTCCCACTCTCCTGTCTGTCCATGTTGTTTAAAACTCTGTATTACAATTTTTGAACAAATGCATTCACCTGTCTTTCACATTCCTTTAGGGGCAGGGCTGTGCTGATTCATTTCTTTCCTTGCTCATAGAAAATTACAGACCAAATGCTCAAAAATTATAAATGTGGTGAATGATGTCACTGAAAACAGGCACCGTATCTTTTCATTTAAGCTCCACAAATATTGTTTTGAAGAGTCTTCTGTGTGCCCAGCCTGGGGACAGGCCTCTGGGAATGTCAGGATGGGAGTATGTTCCCACCAGCTTTCCAGGGAAGGCTGGTGAGGGCAAGGAGAGGGGCAAGCACAGTTCTTCTTTTTGTTCTCATATCCTATGAGGTGGCTGGGGTAGGAATGATGATCTTTAATATACAGCTGGTGTCTAATAAATTGAAATAAAATTACCAGCTTGCATGTACTGAAGGCATACCCTGCATCATTTCTAAGCATTGTGCAGAGAATAATGTCATTTCCATAACCACCCTTTGAGATAGGTTCTACTACTCTCCCCATCTGAAAGATGAGGAAACTGAGCATGAGGACATTTGGTCACCTCCTGGGTCCTGGCCTCTCTCCTGGGTTGCTAGAGACCCAGTGACTGGCTGCCCTGGCCCAGCAGCTAAGCAGTACAGGGATCTCCTCCCAGATGATCCTGGGCTCCTCCTGAGAGCCTGGGCATTTCTGGCCATGAAGGAAGCCAGCAGGTAGCTCTGCCCAGGGATGCAAGTGCCTCTTCTGAGGGATAAGATTCTCTGCAGGGGCTCTCATCTCCCGGGGAAAACTGCTCAGGAACACTTTGCTCTGATCACAAAAGGGGAGCCCGCCTGCTCCCCTCTGAAACAAGTGACAGGGAGTTTGCTAAGTGCCCTTGAGAGAGATGCAGTTAACATGTGCTTTAAAGTCAAATTAGTTTCAAATCAGAGTAATTGTTAGAGGCAAAATGTAAGAAAATCAGAAGTCTTCTTCCACCCCTCCCTAAACAAAGTCTCTCTGAATGTATTTAAATTCACAAACTGCAAAGTGATGAATGACAGCGAGTTGCCTTTATGTTCAGGGGAAAGATATACACAGCTGCTTATTGAAATTATGGATCAATCTGTTATCCAGCAGGCAAGTGCACAGCACTAAGAACATTAATTAACTGAGTGTATCTGTGACCCGGATGTTTAAAGAGTGAAGCTGAATGCCACTGGGAGTCAGAGGCTCTCCTTTCTGAGGTCTGTTAGGGCAGGAGGCTGCTAGGATGGGCAAAGGCCAATGCCAGCCCCAAGCCACGCAGGCCTCGGGGTGGGCAGGGCAGTAGGGAGGGCCCTGCAGAATTTCTGTCCTCACGCCAGAAAACACACAAAGAGGCCATGGTGCGCAGGCTCTGCTGGCCTGGCCAAGGGCCAGGGTCCAGGGAAGGATGCTGTGGTCTGAAAGGATGATGGGGCTAAAGTTAAACTAGCAGACCTGACACCTGCTTCTCCTTACAAGTAGGAGGGAGGGGAGCACTGGCACCTGATGTCACCATATCCCCTGTTTTGCCCCAGTCCACCTCCCCTTCCCCCCCCTACCAGAGCTCCTTCCTTATTTTATGGCCCTCTGCTTCCTCCTCTGCAAGATCAACAGGCTTTCCTGCTTCCGGGGCTTTGCTCCAGCTGTTTCCCCTCACGGAAATGTTACTGTTTGGTTTCAGCTTTCCTAAACCTCAGTGTAATTCCCCCAGGCCACAGGGCCCTCTCTGACTCTTCCAGGCCCTGGATGTTGGAAGCCCCTCTTAGGTCTTTGGTACAGTATGACTCCATAAGGTTTCAGAGACCCCCTTCAAGGTGTGGGGGGTGCTCATGTCTTCTCGGCCATTCTGAGTATCCACTGACCAGGCGGTGGGTCCTTTGTCCCCCTTTTGGCAGTTATGAATTATGCACTATGAATGTTCACATATATGTTTTTGTGTGCACATATGTTACATATGTTTTCTGGGAGTAGAGTTGCTAATGTTGGGTCATATGGTATACCTATGTAACTTTCTGAGCAGTTGCCAAATTGTTTCAGAGTAGTTGCATCAGTTTACCTTCTCATCAGCAATGAGTCATGATTCCAATACTTCCATACCCCTGCCAACTCTTGTTGTTGTCTTCCACCCTCTCTTCCTCCCTCCCTTCTTTTTTAAATTCTATTCATCCAACAGAGTGTGGAGCAGTATTTCACTGTGGTTTTGATTTGTACTTCCCTAATGATATATGATGTCCGGCACCTTTTCTTGTGCTTATTGGCCATTTGTACATCTTCTCTGGAGAAATGTCTTTTGCCTAGAAATTCAGATCTCTTGCTATTTTTCTATTGGGCTATCTGTCCTTGTATTGTTGAGTTGTAAGACTTTATATATTCTGGATGCCAGGCCTTTTTAACATATGTGATTTGTAAATATTTTCTCCTATGCTGTGGATTGTTTTTTTTGCTTTTTGATGGTGTTCTTTGAAGCACAAAAGTTTTAATTTTGATGAAGTCCAATTTATCTATTTTTTTTTTTTTTTGGTTACTTGTGCTTTTGATGACATATCCAAGAAACCACTGCTAAACCTAAGGTCATGAAGATTTACCCCTATGTTTTCCAAGAATTTTGTAGTTTTAGCTCTGACATTTGGGTCTTTGATCCATTTTGAGTTAATTTTTATATATACTGTAAGGTATAGATCCAAATTAATTTTTATGTTGATATCTGGTTGTCCTGGATCACTTATTGAAAAGACCATTCTTGATTTCCCTACTGAATTGTCTTGTCATCCTTGTTCCTCAATGGACTATAAATGTGAAGGTTTATTTCTGCATATTGTTTTGATCATTAGAGCTTTGTAGTAAATTTTAGAAATGGGAAGTTTGGTGCTTCTCTTTTTTCTTTTTTTAATGAAAATATTTTTATTTCATTCTTAAATGATCACAATTTCTTTCAAATAAAATATGTTTGCATATTGGGTACCACAGAATTTCTCATTAAAAACTTTTTTTTTATTCTCCATTTTTTCAATATTGTTCTTCCTATTCTGGGTCCCTTGCATTTTCATAGGAATTTTAGGATCAGCTTTTCCAATTCTCCAGAAAAGATGGGTAGACTTTTGATAGAGATTGCATTGAATCTGTAGATCAGCTTGGGAAATATTGCCATTTTAACAATAGTAAATCTTCCAATCTATGAACATAAGATAGCTTTTTTATTTGGGTCTTTCATTTCTTTCAACAATGTTTTATAGTTTTCAGTGTACAAGTCTTACACTTTTTTGGTTGAATTTATTCCTGAGTGTTTTATTTTTGGTACTATTGTAAATGGTATTGTTTTTTTAATTTCTTTTTCCAAATGTTCACTGTTGTGCCTGCAGTGACTGTAGGACATTTTTGTGAACCACAGGTAGCCACTGTGGTATCTCGTGGTCACTCAACTGCAGGATCTGCAAGTTCTTCGGTTCCTGCTTCCATGGGGCCAGGGCCAGGTGCTGACCTCACACATCCACTGCAGACCCATATTCCTCCTGTGCCTGGGCCTTGCCTGGACTCTCTCATTTTTCATTCACCTCATGT